GTTCCCGTATTTGCCGTGTTTTTTAAAGATGAGGACACATAATAAGTCCAATTCTGGCCGGTTTACTCCACAACGTTGGAGTTTAGACCAACAAGACTTACACACACAAGAGAGAGAGTGGCAACAACCCACATCTACGACTCATGACGTTTTTTCCAGGTAACGAACCAAGTTTTTATTAAATAGATATGCCTCTTGATGACTCTCTCTCTACTAGTATTTATTTGGTGCAGAGTGCAGACTGCAGACTGTCTGACTGAAGAGTGCAGACTGTGCAGAGTGCAAACTGTTTGCGTTTGGTCACACTTTATTTATTTATAAAATTTTGTTTTGTTTTTTTAAATAAATGTAGTTTTTATTTTTATTTTTTTTGTTTAAACAAAACAACCCTTTTTAAAGTAGTTGAAAAAAAAGTGGCTGTCCAAGAAAAAGAGAAAAATTTTGAGTAAATTATTTTTTGAAAATGCTGTAAATAAATACATGTAAATAAATATGTATTTTCATGACCCTCTAGAAGTGCAAAATATAAAGGAGAACGGACAAGATGGCCGTGGTATTTTTATAAATGTGTAAATTTTTAAAATCTTTACACAAAACTGTTTTGTTTTGTTTTTTAAAACAAACATTTGTTTTTACAAAAAAGCAATGTTCTAAACATTTGTAAGCATTTTTTTTTTAAATATTTAAACGTGTATTTAAATACTCGTACTACTCGACTAATATATACGAATTTTTCATAGCCTTCTAAATTATTTAGGGAAATAGCCCCTTTTTGATACAAAAAAAAATACATATTTAAATATCTTTGCCAAAAACTGGCTAAATGTCAATCATATATTTTTAGAAATAATATGTTTCTCCGAACACGGGCTATTTATTTACTGTATTTATTTACGATATTTTTTAAAAGTAGAAGGTTTTTCGGTACTATATAGTATGCACTATGCAGTCCTAAATCAGGACACAGAGTGTTATATCAGGACACAGAGTGTTATTGAATTTTGTCCGGCGACATGTCATCACTTGCTTCATGCTTGCGTTTAATTGGTGTGTGCAAAATATTTGTGGCCAATTATAGTATAATAGGAGCCCTAGCCAGGTTAAAAACTGTGCAAATAAATAAATAAAATTAAACATGTGAAAACCGGTGGCTGTCCTGTACAATTTAGGAGGCTATGGCACTCCTTGCTAAAAAAAACCCCTCGACAGCTGTAATAAACTGCCGTTGGCCTTTTAGCGCGCCACTTTCGTGTCTGCCAACGGGATTATCGCTGGTTGTCGTATGTAGTATAAATACAGAACCCGCCGGTTTCTCTGAGCCACTGATTCTTGCTTTTTCTCACTGCAACCGGTTTTAGGTCAATAAACAAAAACTTCAACCAAGTTCTTACAATGTGTGAGCTTGCGTGTCAATTTCTGACTTGTGTCTTTACAAGCGTTGCTACGTAAAGATATCAATCGTAAAAGTGAAACGTTGTACTTTCATTCCGAAAGCAGCTTTAGTTCACTATCTTCGTACCAAGCGAGAGGCTCGCTGCATACATGAACGAGCGCCAAAAGTTCTTGCCCGCAGCATGGATGCTCTACTGAACCCCCTTGCCAACTCCACTTGTAGCTTATCTCTTTGAAATAGAAATTATTTTTCCATCTATATGTGGCTTGACTTTATGAGGTCTGGATCTGGGGGAAGTGGGCCTCAGGATTTCGGATTTCTGACTTCAGATTTCAGAAATTCAACTAGCTTAATGCTTAAAATTTATTCACTCTCGTCTCTGCTGTGATGGGCTACTAGTATTGAATATCAGCTTCAGTATCCTAAGTTTCAGACTGAACCAGGGCCTTCACTGCTTCAGACTCCAGCTTTAAGCTTCTATGCTTTCCAGGTAAGTATAACGCCAAATGTCGCTCCCCCTTCTCGCCATAACGACTCATTCAAAGGTGGCTCCGTGGCACGATGGACTAATATAATAATCTCGACGTTTGTGATACATTGGCTAGACGATATCTGAGCTCAAGTGGCCTGCTTCTGTTCTTGG